GAAAAAAGATATGCCGTACTAAGATATATTGTCTAGATAAATAATATTCCGCTAAAATCAATCTATGTGAACATTTAAAATGATAGAATCCATTGTTTCACTGGCAAATCCACGAAGTTAAAAACCCAAATGAATACGCCTAGAAGGGGTGGGTGGGTAGACGCTTACTCCAAGGATCACGTGACCATCCACCCCTTTCGTTTTAAAATCTGACAGTTTTGGTCTGTAAAGGCATACCATTTAATTAAATATGCTAGTGTTTCGTTTTGAATAGCACCGCATGCATTATTATTGCGTTCAGTGAAGCTGGAGATATTTTCGCCGAATTCATACCACAAAGGTCACAGATTACAATCTCATTTCGAGTTGTGATTTAGTGCCGTAGTCTGCATCGTAGTCGTCGCCTGGCAGGAATGAAACAACATTGCACCTCGACATGGTTAATGATTCAACAAAGTCAAATGAGATTACGAACACAACTATTACCTACCGACAATGATACATTCCATCACGTGTATTGTACTTATTTTACAGTTTTTAAAGAGGAACTAGTGCATGGCTGTGATGTCCACACATAACGAGATCAAGGAGTGTTTTAAGCTCGAGATTGGTTGGTTTATTCACCGTTCCCTGTGTTGAGGGACGGTGGTTTATTGTAAATAGTCTCCAGTTCTAATTACTACGACCTATATGAAGACATTAGCATCTGTGAAAAATCGCGGTCATTGCATAAGAATCAATAATATTTAAGATCAACTATTGCATAAAGCACACTTTACCTCTTTTAAAACAAATATCAATACACGCCGGTTTACTACTTCTGGAGTTGTCTCTAGTAACCAGAATATTGCAATTGTTCAGTGTTTATCTGTTATACGAACATGAAGTATATCGTTTATAAATGATGTTCACTAAGGTAGACCTATCGCTGACCAATCATGGCCATGTATTTCTGGGCTCTCTCCAGCATGGTTTCTGTGCCATCCACGACAGACCAAGACGCAACTCGGCAACGCTAAACGATATACTAGACGTAATGCCCAAGATAAAGTGAATATTTCTGACTTAATTCAGGACGACTATGTTATTTTAAGTCAACGCCTTTCTCTACAGATTATACCCGACCATTCCAATCTATAACATAATCTTTATTGACACAATTTGAATTTCCCTGGGGAAAATTAGAATGACCACGTGGAACAAATACACAAAATAGAAAACAGAGTAAAAATACAATTATTAACGCGAGATATTATTATTTGCACCCAGGCTGATACAACTACAGCCTCTTAGGAAATGGGAAACTTAAAACAACGAGCTTTTATTATAAATAATTACTGAGACAGAAGCTAATGGTTAGTATATTTTCTGTGTATATAAAGTATTTTAGAGAAAACTGTAACATGGTATTACTTTTCTAATTCACTCTTCAATATATCATGGCTGTCTGTGATTTTCGGGGACTGTCCTAGACGGTTCTTTATATCCTGTGATCTTTCAAATGCCACGTTGTAGTTGCACTCGGATGCCAAAATATCCGTGATTGCTGTCGCCCATGCTTCTACATCTTGGTCAAATCCAGAATCATTCTGTCCGACTTCGACCACCATATTGCTTGCAACATCAGCGAAATCCTTTCTCAAGAAGTCAGCAAAACCCGAGTTCTTGCTTACAAGTACTGGAATTCCAGCCGCCATGGCTTCCAGGCCGACTAAACCAAATGGCTCGCTTCTGGATGGCATAACACAGAGGTGGCTTTGTTGTAGATCTTTGAGAATTTCAGCTTGGCTTCCAATAGGATAAGGTTTAATGCTAAGGTGTCTACATTGGCCACCGTCATTGTAATTATGTAATAGATTTTTATGGTCAAGCTGCTTTATCTTATCTGAAGGCACTCCTCGAACAATAAAAACTGGAGCTTGCTTATTCATTTTTTCAAACAATTCAACCACTCGGCACATCGCCTTGACAATTATGTCATAGCCCATGAGTTTTTCTACGCCAAGTATTTGTCCAAATATTATAACTTGTTGCTTACCGTCTTTTCTCGGTCTCTGAATTGTAAGATCGAAAAAAGCCTTATCGGGTTTTGGCAGGTACATACGATGACTGACGCTGTCTTGCTGGTGTGCTCGATATTTGTTTTCAAAATGATCGTACATGCGTGGACCTACAGAGAAGATAACAACTTGTACATGTTTGTCGAAAGCCCATTTAAATAACTTGTGTTCCTTTTCTTGTAATGTCAGCGGCGACCAGTCATCTTTGTGAACTTCGGTATCTTCTGGTATCTCATGATTAAATAAAATTACCCGCTGTACTTTAAATTCTTTTGCCAAATGCATCGCCGCGTCACCCGTGATTGGGAGATGTCCGACAACAACTCTAATATTATGGATATTATAGAGACGTGGAAAATAAGATTCGTAGTTTATGAACCAGTCTAAAGAAGGCGTCTTCACTTTTAAAAGAGGCTCAATAAAGGGCTCCAAGAGTGAGATGTTATTATTCACGGTATCTCTTCTATCTTCATCAGTTGCAGTTAATGTAAGTGCATGTACGCTATGAGAAGTTTCTGTAGCGAGTTTAGCCACCTGTCGATGAATTGTTGAGATACCACCGCTTGCTGTCCCCCACTCATCATTTATCAGCAAGATGCTGCAAAGTTCAAGAAAACAAGAAAACGTGATCTATTTAAGGATGACGTAATGAAAATCAAAATATGTTATGACTTGCACTATGAAGAACAAACTGACAGTTACTTCTATCTCAGTGAGTAGAAATAGGGGACAGTGTATAGTCAAGAACTTCTGAGTGAATGGAAAGATTAGTGATGTGTTTACCTTTTTGTATTCATTACTCTTTCACAAGAGTCGTCATCCCGACTACACGATTTGATTTCACATCCGCCAACAGTGTACAGTAGTAATGCAATACCTACAATAACGATGAATATGAACAATCACATATACACAGACTAAATTTACAAGACGGGAACGAAGAAACATTTTCAAGCTCTAAAAACCACATGTCCACTGAAACAACGGTACGTGTTCATGGGGTTGGTGCTGTGTATGATCATTTACATACACCTTTATTGACATTACCTGGCAAGACCATGCACAAACGACATTGAGGATGGACCTTCAGAATCATCTTCATTATTTTTCAGCGATAGGAGCACCTAGATGGCAGATGAATAGAAGATGACAGACAACACTACTGTTACACATGTAAATCATTTTATTTACTGTACGTTCTATATCGAGTTTGGCACTCGGGAGACCAATGATGAAAGTAAAATCTTTTAGGGTGGCTGTTACACTATTTCCGCTGATACCTACACCTAAAGACAAGGTATCTTTATATTTGAAAGATTGCTCTAGAAAGAAAGTTACAAAGAGAAAGTGCACGGGAATTACAGAGGATATAATGGGAACAAAACACTACGAAATAATATAACATTATGAATAAGTATAACATTGAGAAATTTGTTTCCAAAAAATCGAAATAGATGGAAGCACAGTGAAGTCAACGTCTGAACCCGACAAAGAAACATTTCTGTTTAAAACTAAATGTTTTTACAACAGTTAAAATACTTTTCAGTGGGACGCATACAAATGGTGATCATTGTTGGCAAATGTTTTTTTTTTCTGAAAATAAAATATTTTTCAGCAACCCCCGTACGATATAACATTTGGTAGAACAAGTTCAAATGTTTGTAAAACAATGTTTATATTGTAAACATTTCCAATGTGTCAGTGAATCAAGCAAGAAAGCAACGGGGTTCAACGGCAATGAACTCTGTCGGTAAAACAAGACGAAACCCTAAATACCACAAAAGTTGGGTACAGCTTATTATTGCATTCGCTAATTGTCGTATGATTTATCAGACCATGCTTTCTTTCTGTAATAATTTATGGCTTACATTGGTGAATTGTAATTACTGTTCACTTACTAAATTAACTATTACAACAACAAAATAAAGTCAAGTGTCAGCAATATAAAAGTCGCGAATCGAAAGCGACATGTTATCATGTTTGAGTTCTTGGAACCATGTTTTCGTTGAAATGTTGTTGTGTACCTGTTCGCACCAGGCAAGTAGATGTGTATCTTGTTTCGTTTTAATACCGCAAAATAGTTGAAAATAACAAATATTAGTGTGCATCGAGCTATGAAAGTGTTCAATTTGTACCTCGAAGTGTGTGGCGTAATCCCAATTGTTTTTAATTCTCTAAAGACCCGCGATTATGATTTTATGCTTTATGTTTGGAATGATATCTTATACAGGGTCACTACCTAGAAATTAATTATAAGTGTTTTTCTTTTGTGAATGAAAAACGATATACAAATTACGAACTCTTACCTCCTAAACCCAGTCTTGTCAACGAGAGATCAAATGAGTTACTGCCGTATGTACCCAGTGCTCACTAACATGTATTTTTTCAGACTTTGCACTTCATGACCTTGATAACAAAAATATGACCCCATACAATAGTGTGATCAATTGTGATTGTGGTAGAATAAAAATGAAAAAAAAAATCCATAAATATCTTGGCAACACTTGATTTCATAATAATGTTGTGAGGTAGGTAATGTACAATGAAAAATATCTTGTGGGAAAATTGGGACAATGGAGTGGGTATCACACGACAAGAACAAAATAAAACAACGAAAGTCAAACAATATGGCGCGAATATAATATGGTTGTGCGATGGGGTGATCGCAGTACCAGCCACGGTATTGACAATGATATGAGAACTACGCATACTAATGCGTATGAGGAGGGGCGTATCACCGATTGGCTACCACGAACACAGCAATAACGCAACCATTTGACAATCGAATAGAAATGTACAACTATTAAAACAGCTGATCAGATTTTCTTGAATTTTACAATATGGTTTTATCCTATCCTGTGGTTTTCGAACATAGATTGGTTTCTATGGTGACTTCTTTATGTGCTCTTGTTTTCTCGACACGACCAAATAGCTACCGACATGCTGAGAAAGCTTGGTATCCCCTCACGATTCAAGATGGCTACCCCTAATAAGCTGATCACTCTACCACACGACGATCACTTCATATCATCGCTTCACTTGCAGGGTAGGATAGTGATTATAAAATAAGTAACTATTATCTATAATAGATTAGCATAAATTGCAACAATCCTATGGGGATTGTCGGATCGAGGAGCCACAACATAGAAAAAATAATATTTTCCGACCCCTATTCCATTTGTATATTTTTTCTATATTTTTATGTTGTTATGACTAACTTTTTCATGGAATAAAGATCTATCATGTATAAACCTCATAATAAGTTCAATAAAGGACGGAATATTCGTGAAATAATATTCCACAAAAAAAAATAGATTATGGACACTAACTAACACAAATCATGTCTCAATATAAACAAAAATCCCGTCTCCCTTGCAGCCAACTTTAAGACGGGAGAGTCGTCACCTGCGCACGCACGGGAATTGAGTCCTAAACCACGATAACAACACACGCTAAAACGCAAAGGTTTATGGGTGGACGCTCGTTTGTAAACAATGACACGCTATGGCCGCCTGACGCATGCGCAGGTGACGATTCCCCCGCTTTAAATTCATGTGCTCATATACAAAGTTTTTTTCGTTTTTAGAAGTTTAAAGTCGTCACGTTTATAACGAGTTTCGAGTATTTGTTATTAGCGTCATTATCATTAAACGACGGCTCACAGAGTGGACATTATCCATCATTAAATTCTCATTTACTGCTAAAGTTGGAACTGAAAAGTCCATATGTACACGTTGAGGGCGCACAGAGACGAACCCGGAGATTCGAGACAAGGCGATGCTAAATGTGACGGAAATATTAGTCAAAATTTTGCAGCAAATGTGCGTACATCGGCAGGATTTGAGATGAAACTCATCAGATAGGATCAATTTGACCCCTTTCCTTCCAGGAAGACTGGCGAGAAATTGATAAATATTATTTCTATTTGTCAACACCATATTATGTGTCAAATTACCAAGCGAGTGAAAATCGGTCTACTTTCTGGGCCCTCTTTTATCAACCATTTGATACACGCGCGATACCACGTGACATTGTTACTCCTGTGACCTAATTACTCTACATTACATTACGCGTTTCTAATATATTCATTGTGACGTCACATGAAAAATGCTGACCCACTGTAATGACGCTTTCAAATTAAAGTTGATCACGTGTTTCCACAAAAGTTCACATAAATTTTATTTCACGTGTTTGTATGTAATTTATTTCTGTGGACTGAGCATCGCCAATCAACGCACTGTTTGTCAGGTTTGCTTCATCGATGATTCCTATTTTCACAAAAGGATGATGAATGCAAAACTGAATTTTTTGTTAACCGAGAATTATGAAACCTACTTTAAAACTTAAAGAGTGATACTGCCAAAGTAAAGTCACTTTAACACTGGTCTCATATGTCCAGCATTTCTTCTTACCTGTCGTGCACCACTGAGGGCCTCAACATCGGTAACTTTACACTCCGGTCGAATATTTATTTAATAGTCGTGCACACAACACATAAATTGGACGACTGATGTGGTCAACTGAATCAAGTCGTATGTAGAGCTGTGGTTGAATAACTTGTGTATAAGCAATATCGTCAAAAGTTACATATGTCACGAAGTCGTTGTAGAATTTGTTAGTTTGATTTGCTGTAATGTACAGTTCCACCAGTAACGTATGACAAGGATCGATAGGAACAATTAATATTAGTATTTATCTCTGTGGGGGACGGGAGGAGGGGGGGCATGTCACACACGGAAGTCATACTGTATAATCCATAACGTCGTCGGGTATGACTTAGACTAGTAATATTACTAGTCTGAAGTTACGACGACTGTGTGGGTCCAGGGTACCTTTAAAGCGGGGGAGTCATCACCTGCGCATGCGTCAGATGGTCATTCACTTCGGTATATCGATTTCATATGTAGTCAATCTTCAATCTTGTATACATCCAGAAATCTAATATTTTGATATTTGTTTAGTACAGTCACAACTAGAATCAAGTCGAGTATTTGGCTTTTTTTCATCTTTTTACATAGATCACGTTACGCTTTTCTGATGGCTATAGCGTGTCATTGTTTACAAACAAGCGTCTACCCATGAGCCTTTGCGTTTTTAGCGTGTGTTGTTATCAACAACTCAATTCCCGCGCGGGCGCAGGTGACGACCCTCCCGCTTTGAACATTGAAACGAAGTTGTAGATCGAGTAGGAGCGTCGTAAGGTAAATTCGCAGTGTTTTCCCTATTTAAATTGGGGACGATCATTACATATATATACTCGGCAAGAATCATAAACAATAGATTATTGAGTTGATGTTGTTACTTGCAAGACATTAACGGGAAAACATGCGCCATGTAAACTGAAATTACAAACCTATCCAAAAAAAAAACAAAACAAAAAAAACAAAAACAAAAAACAGATATGAATTTACTATTTGCTAACCTGATATAAATATAGATATAAAAGAGGCTGACTATAAACAATCTGTGTGTGTTGGGGGTGGGAGTGGCTGGAACTACTTTGTGCATAATTTGTTTCACGATGCCCTCGCTGTGACATGTTTCTCTTTCAAGCTGCGCACAAGACAAACTAACATGTGCGGACGATAAAAACATGTTGGTTTTAATTCTTATGGAAGCTTATGAATACATGTGTATACGAGATTTTCCTATCTGTAGTTATTCTGTAAAATTTTTGCTTTCTTTGAAAATCACCCGAGACACTATGCCGGGACACTATGAGCAAGCCCTAACTCGGATAGTATTATATCACACAAAAGAAGAACCGACTCAAACTTAGAGGGCGCACTTGTATGGGTTTTCCAGGAAACGCACGAGTCATGATTTCGTCGAATTGTAATATCAACATTTCCACGAAGCCCTCACGCTATATTTAGGTCGGTAGTTTGAAACAAGATTACATACATCGTCCATATTTAGTGGAACAGATTTGGCGATTTTGAACCTACAGTTTTTGCCTATGAAGGTGAGTGTTATCATACATCGACATCAGTGACTCTATTTCACGATTCACGCTAACAAACACTATGTCATGTCACAGCGACATTCTACTTTTCAGAGACGTGACGCACATACGCATACACATATAGAAATATATATAGGACATTTTCCTTTTGTTTCAACTGTGTAAAATCGTGTTTGTCAATGTATTGAAATTTGTAATAAATCTAACTTCTAAAACAGAAAGAAGTATGGGAATTCCATTATTAAACCACTGTTGTTAACCGTTCATCGGTAGCATAGGGGGCCCGGGCACAGGGGTTGTAGGATCTGACTCATGATCAGTAGGAATTAACATTGAATAGGGTCGACCCCTACCCTGGGCTAGTGTGCCACTACGCAGATTGCGGGAATTCTATTATTAAACCCCTGTTAACGAACCCGGAACGGCAGACATTACGTCAGTTTGAACTTTGACCTGCACACACAATGAGTATTAACATGTCTGACCCGTCATATATTTATAGGAATAGTACGCCCACAACTCAGATGTTGACGTTTCTGTGAGGAAGTAAAATACTGAAGAAAACTACGAAACTGTAAACAACTAGAGCGATATTATTAAATCGGGGCGTGTGATCGTCGCGTTTAACATTTCATGAAATTTAATTTGTACGCGTCGCATTACACTTTGGTATATCGATTTGATATGTAGTCAATCTTCATTCTTGTATATGTTCAGAAATCTGGGGTTTTTGAATGCATTTGATATTTTTTAGCACAGTCACAACTAGAATCAAGTCAAGTATTTTTTTTTTCATCTTTAGAATTTTTACATATATCACGTGACAATGTTAACATTATTGATCCGCAATCAATAATGTATCAGAAGTGCTACTTTCAACATTTTAATAGAACCAATCAACACTAGTATTTGCCATGTAGTATACGAACAACATACGACGAAACATTCTGCTTTAAAGCGGGAAGAGTCGTCACCTGCGCATGCGTCAGATGGCCATAGCGTGTCTTTGTTTACAAACAAGCGTCTACCTATGAGCCTTTGCGTTTTAGGGTGTGTTATTATCGCTTGGGACTCAATTCCCGCACGCGTGCATGTGACGAACCTCCCGCTTTAATTTCTGAGACGTGACGCACATGATACACACATATATATGTCTAACAGTGTAAATAAAAAGAAAGTTTACGATTTTCAATTAATCACTGCTATTTGTCTGCGAGTGATGTTTTTTTGTTTTGTTAGAACAACAAGTTTTCGAACGATATTATTATGATTGATATCACGTCAGACCAGTTATTGTCTAATTGAATATGCAATAGTCTGAATGTTATTTTGAAGCCCACAAAGAGAGGCGAATCATGATTGTAACGATTAATAATTTACAAATTATAATTATAGTGAATTTTGTCTTCCCCGGGAAGGGGATGGGAGCTAAATTCCACAGAGGGTCCATCAAAGCATGCATCCATTACTCAACTCGATCTAATAGAACGTCTCTCATCTACGCAGCCAGTAATAGACATAGAGGGCGCTAAGCCAGCGGCTCCGGCTCCGGCGGAAAACAATTATTCTAGTTTGATCATGATGACCTTATTGGATATAATATTTCATCGTTAATTTCAAATATCTATAATATCTCCTCATGGAATAAATGGTCAGTTTTGTAATTACAAAGATGTTTGGAAATTATAATCGAATTTGTTTGATCAGATTCGAGTTTCCAGCCCTCGTCTCATCTCCATTAGCTGTTCAGTATTCAAGTTTGTGTAAGCTTCCCACTACTGTATTGTCGTCCCGGGGGGTGGGGGTGGGGTGAAGAACTGGAATCAAGTCAATGTGGGATGTCCGTCTAACATACAACGAGTAATTTCCTTCAATGTTAAGTGGTTAGTCATTTGCATATCAGTTATACCCGGTACTGAAACAAATTGTTATTTTTTTGTCAATACCTAATAACTAATGTTATTATACATTTCCATATGCAACAGGTGCTTCACACCACAGGAGATATATTCAGTTTGCCAGCCTATTCAACATCTAGGAAATGTTGAAAAAAATATAATCACGCGCATACATGTATTGCACTTTTTAATGTTTAGCCTATAAAGTAATATTTCACTTTTAAGTTTATTGCGTTCGATGGAATGTTCACAATAAATCTAGCAACTCTAAAAACAATTTACCGGGGTATATAAAGGGTCTTTGTGTCATCATTTTTAAACAGTCGAAAAGTGGAAAATGAGTATGTAGGACGTACAAGTAAATTTCATACAAGTATTCTTATGTGATGTAAAACAATATATATTTTTTTTCAATTGACCTAATAATTGATTACCGTGAATGGATGAAGTCTATCAGCCGGTACGCAGCCAAGCGTTTTGACCGTTAATGGGCGCGATTATTAGATTTGAGTATCGCCACCAACGGCACGAAAACCTGTCTTTATATAAATGCGGGAGTGATGTTGTAATTTCTCACGGTATTTTCTTTTTGTGTTATTCTAGAATTTTGGGCAAAAATCATAATTTAAAATGATGAACTAATATGCAGGTCTCAAATGCAAAGTTGTCCTATAGGTTTTTGATCAAAAATCAACGAATGTATTAAAATATCACAGTCAGCTGGCGCACACGTGATAATAAAATAAATACGATATTTACTACATGGGGGCCGCCATCTTGAATGACGCATACAACTAAATAAGAGACAAGTTGTGAAACGCGTTTTTCAGATTCCTACA